GAAATGCAGCCTTTGCAAAGCCTGGCTGGGGGACAAAGGAGGGTCCAGAGACGTGGCGCATGGCGTCACCTTAGAGTAATGTTGCCAAAACAAAAGAGCGAACTTGGACAAATAAAAGCTGGGGATCTATATAGTGAGAGGAATCGGCTTCATCGTGTGGACTGTAATACACTTAGTGTCAAGTTACTGCAACAGTTTCCACTTACTTTATGTTTGAGTCACTTCAACACATTTTTGTTACTGTACATTTCTGTTGACTTGGATCTATGCTTGAGAGCATCACATCTTATTGTCTCCAAGTATTTGCTTCATTAATTGTAATAACTATGGTATTAACCTAGCAGTAGACTAAGTGGAAGTCAGCAGGGGCTGCAATTATATTAAGAAGGCATATACTTAGAGTCAACACACAACTGACATGTAGTAGTTTCCTTGTGCTGTGCAGCTGTCATCTGGCAATGCAAAGCCAACACATTTAAGTGGTATTTATAGTTGAGTGAGAAAGGCCCAGAGCTAAGCCGTCTGATTTCATGAATGCTTGCACCTCTCTCTCGATGTGCCTTAGAAACAAAACCTACAGCATGGGTGGAGACCCTGGATAATGCAGCAGGTAAATATTGGTTATACTGCAGGGCCTGCAAGAGCTGTGCTGTTGTCTGGCCAACTCCTTCAGTTTCTTATAAGGGTGAGCTGTGCATTAGTCCCCCTTTAGACAAACGCCAGCACTCTTAAGTGGCCACTCTTGGATTAGGGATCACTTTAACATTGCTTTCTGTTGAGGTGATTTTAGGTCTGTAAAGACACTCAGAGGGTTCTGCTTGTGTTGGGCTCTTAGCTAGATTTGCAGAATACTTCACAGCCTCAAAATATGTAATTTGCAGCTTCTGCAAGAGAAACCTCTATGAAGACCACACACCATTTCACAATCCCAGGCATCTTGTAAATTAAAGTAAAAAAAACACACACACACAACAAAAACAGGAATATATTGGCAAAATATTCACTGTGCAATCTGTTATAATGCATCAAAGAAATAAAAAAAAAAAACTTCTTTAAACTAGTGTAACAGTAAAACTGGCACCAGAGTTTGAGTTAAAAAAAAACCCAGAAAGACAGCAACTTTTCTAGTGAAATGTGCACATCATACAAATCATTAGAGGTAACATTCTAAGCCATGTTGTTCTGTACTTTTATCCTCCATACTCAAGGTTTTTGCCTAAGGCTGTTACTAGTGTGCGTTCATAACTTTTTTAAAGGAAAAAGAATCTGTAGCACCTTTATCTGCTTTAGGTCATGTATGAGGGGACTTTTGCTACACCCCTTAAATTTAAAAATCAGAAGAAATTGACAATCAGACTCCTTGGAATGTGTGCAAACTACTACATGCGCTGTAAACCTTCACATGTAGAAACTAACAACATATCAGAGAGGAGAACATAAGTCAGAATCGTGGTATTTTACATGTGCTGCATGTAAAATATGTAATTTGCAGCTTCTGCAAGAGAAACCTTTATGAGGACCACACACCATTTCACAATCCCAGGCATCTTGTAAATTAAAGTAAAAAAAACACACACACAACAAAAACAGGAATATATTGGCAAAATATTCACTGTGCAATCTTTTATAATGCATCAAAGAAATACGGAATACCGTCACATTGTTTAAAAAAAAAACTTCTTTAAACTAGTGTAACAGTAAAACTGGCACCAGAGTTTAGTTAAAAAAAAACCAGAAAGACAGCAACTTTTCTAGTGAAATTTGCACATCTTATACAAATCATTAGAGGTAACATTCTTAGCCGTATCGTTCTGTACTTTTATCCTCCATACTCAAGGTTTTTGCCTAATGCTGTTACTAGTGTGCGTTCATAACTTTTTTAAAGGAAAAAGAATCTGTAGCACCTTTATCTGCTTTGGGTCATGTATGAGGGGACTTTTGCTACACCCCTTAAATTTAAAAATCAGAAGAAATTGACAATCAGACTCCTTGGAATGTGTGCAAACTACTACATGCGCTGTAAACCTTCACATGTAGAAACTAACAACATATCAGAGAGGAGAACATAAGTCAGAATTGTGGTATTTTACATGTGCTGCATGTAAAATATGTAATTTGCAGCTTCTGCAAGAAAAGACCACACACCATTTCACAATCCCAGGCATCTTGTAAATTAAAGTAAAAAAAAACACACACACACAACAAAAACAGGAATATATTGGCAAAATATTCACTGTGCAATCTGTTATAATGCACGTGTCATTGATGTTTAAAATGCCTTATCCTCTAAAGGCAGTGGTGTGTTCCCTATATATAACTAATAAGATATTATAGTTGCAAGTGCATGCTTATACTGAAAAATTAGCTTTCCTGAACCTAAAAAATGTGCATCCACATTCCCTTAAATGAATAATAAAAACTAGACTGAGGAGCAATAGTATAAGCAGACTTTACTTAGGTGTGCTGCAGCTGCTAAAAACAGACCAAAAAGCAGGTCTTCTAGTTCAGTTATGGAACCAAATCCCATTTATTCTCTCCATGAGGGAGACATCTTGTCTTCTTTTAACACGCTTAAAACCTTCCAGTCTCATTAAAGTTCACAATTAAGGAAGCTCAGAATGTCCTGACCTAACAATAAAGGTAAAAAAGTTAAAGAAACTCAATCTGCTTTTTTTTTAATACATCCCCTCACGTAGCTGCATGTCCTACATCATACACATATGTAAAGATTTACTTAAAAAAGAAAAGAAAAAAAAATAAATCTGTCTTTAGATAAATCAAACTGGCATGTAGCCTTTTGGCATAAAATATAAATCTGTGGTATGATAAATGCAGCAGTAATTCTCTGTTTAGGTGCTACTCAAATGCTGCATTATCGACCCAGTAATAATTCATGCCATTCTACATTATGCTGATGCTCTGTCTGCATCTAACAATCCACTCCTCACACTATGCTTGAAGTGGCTCCAACAGTAGAGTTCCAACTTTTTTCTTGAATAACCAGCAAGTAAACATCTGCCTCTTTGAGGCCTGCATTGACTGGAAAGCACCGAGCTTTCATCTCTAAATGGGCTTCTTTAAGATAACAGAGCTTGGTGTTTCCTTTCCTTAGATAGGAAACTTTTAATCTCTCTGTTTGACTTGATTGAATTATCTCTGTAAAGTTCCTTCAGAAAATGTGTTGTTATTGGGGCTATAAAAATGAACTAAACATTTTATGTTTTCATCTTTCCGTCATTAGCAGCAGTGTAGGAAAGTGTGACAGCAGCTTTATTCTAGATACAAGACAAGATAATTTATGATTTACTAAATCAGAAGCTAATTTGGGTTTAATTGGAATTCTTATAAATGATTTAAACACAATTATCTTGAAATAATAATTATTATTCATGAAATTATTTTTTTTATGAAGATAGTGGTATGATTGAAAAATTGACTAAATTTGATCAAATGGTAACTTAAAAGGATATTTTGTGGAATTTATTATGACAACAATAAAAGTATAAAAGCCATGGTGACAACAAAAAAGGTTAAAACTATTTACTAATTATAAATGAGCCTATAAAAAAAACAACAGCTTAATAACAAAAAAAGCATGCAATAAATAAATCTGCTGTCATGGAAACTATTTGGAGAAATAAAGTAACACTAAAACCCTGTTTTATAAGTTTAAGGGTTAGCAAACACTAAATTATAGAATTGACTCTCAAAATAAATCAGTATCAATTTAAATTAAAAAAAAATACAGATAATAAATGTTTTATTGACAACTCCTAACAGGACGATTCTGCTGCTTCTGCTAATACACACTACAGTGAGGACTATCATCAGATTTCTGTCAGAAAAATAAATCATCTTTGCAGTTTAATGGAAAGTTCTGCAGGTTTTTCCAACCCTTTATATCATTTAGAGCACATGTGTCAAACTCAAGGCCCGCGGGCCAAATGTGGCCCGCCACATCATTTTATGTGGCCCGCTAGAACTCCCACAGCCGTCATTTTGATGGTTCTGAGATTTTAAAGGGAAAGAACTATATTTAAAATTAAATTTATGTTGCTCATGTTAACTCACTTTTCCAGTTTCTATATTTCCTTCATTTTCCCTTTTTTTTTTTTAAACAATGTGACAGTATTCCGTCTTTGTTTCGAAGCATTTCAACCCACGTCTTAAAAAAAAAAAAGGGAAAATGAAGGAAATATAGAAACTGGAAAAGTCAGTTAACATGAGCAACATAAATTTTAATTTTTAAAAAAAAATTTTTTTTT